TACTTCCAGTGAGTTGTTTAGGAAAGTTCTCGGTCATTTCATTTTATTAGGAATCAAATTCAATGCGAAACAAATCGTAGCACTCAGAGGTATCCACTTAAATTTTTCGCGGAACAAAGTAAGATCTACCGAATGCACTCGACGCGACTTTATTGATGGGGTGTCGACTTCACCATCCTCCTTTCGCTCGTTAAATAAAATTTAAAAAGAATCCTGCCATCGGAACATTTTCCTACCTGCTTTCAAGAAGTAAACTTTCCATTTTTGTTTCTCAAACAACCACTTCCGCTCGAAACAATAGAGGTGCCGGCAATTTTGAAACGCTAATGGCGGCCATGTTTGTTTACAACTCGCTCGCGGATCTGATCGCGCGCGCTTTCGCTTATTTCTCTCGCGAGTAATTAGCTTCCGTGTATCTTGGAATCCATTCTCTGCGCGGTCAAAAAAAACCCTTTCGGGCCCCCTTAATTGGGGTGAGAACGGAAGACTTGTGTTTGAGAAAATCAAGGAGCCTGACTTTCCACTTGCTCTGGGGGAGACCGTTATTGTATACCATAATTAAGATACCCCGTGAGATTAAAAATATTTCGTACAAAGAATTCTCTTGGAGACATCCTGCAAACTTGGAATCTACATGTGCTCAAAGTACATCTACTCGCGCAGATCAAAGAGGCGATTCAATCGAGCTGTTGGATGGAATCAGTCTCAGTCTTTAACATGGTTTACTGATTACGCCAAGAGTAAAGTCGAAGTTGATTTTGAACAAGTAACCCATTTTTCGTTTCTCGAGTTAAAAAATCTTAAATTGCATTAATTGCCTTAAAGATATTAAAGAAACTTATCTTGGCGTTTTTATTTTTACGTTTTCTTCCTTCTCTCGAACTCTCTTATTTTTTTTTTCATTTTATTTATCTTGTTTTGTTATATTTCATTTTATGCCTTTTTTTTCTTTGAGCGGCTGTTACTCGAGATTCAGCATTTGTCTTTTAAAGTGACCCCCCCCCGGTTCGAAATAGACTCAAGAGAATATCAACTCAGCTGATACTCTCTTGATAGACTATAATGAGCCCATGCGCTCCGACGAAGGGCTAACGCTCGAAACGTCAGCTTTTATAATCGTAACGGTGGCCAATTTACCATTTCAACTTTATTGATATATTCAAATTATTTCGTTACCCCCACCGACGCAGCCCCAAACAGTTTCTTTAGAAACTATCAGCCTTTATTCATTTGTATAATGAGCCCAAGGCGACCACGATAAAACGAACACGTGCCCCCCTTCTACTATAGCCTTCAGAGTAGGTTGATGTATTCCAGTGGCGACAGTTTGTTGTAACAGTTTGATATCCCTCACAACTTCGCATCTATCCTTTGTATGAGTGTTCAAGATAAACTTCCTGTGCTACTCAATCTTACTTCTAATATACGTCTGTTGGATAGGCAGAGACGACCTCGCCAAACTTGTTCTCGACGGTTGTAACCTTTACTTTGCTTTTCCCGATCCCGGGTACATTTATTTCACACATACAGTTGGTTGTTGCTCTGTCGTACGGATATCCTCCTCCACCATCTCCGCGTCCTTGAAGGAAGCAAGTGGTGAACAAGGCCAAATCAAACGCTGGGCTTGTTCCAACAAACATGCTGCTTGGTGCGCCCTTTTGCAGCCCTCTCCATGTGAATGAGAAACCTCTCAGGAAGTTAGGCTACAAATGAAATTATGCATAAGGAATCAAGTGATCTCATAATTTCATATCTAAAAGAGCTACACTAAAAGAACGTACTCATAAACTTCAAGCTTATTTTTGTCAACCATGTTCTCCATCCTTGTCCATTTATGTTCCTATTTTGGTCACCCGTACCTCTTTGATGCTTGTTCACTTAAACAAACAATGGAAGGAAAACATATGTTTAAGTCACTAATGACCGCCCTTCTTCTATGCTGTCTGACTGACTGACAATTAATATTTAATCTGAGAATAGAACGCACGTCACTCTATCAGTGGAGAGATGAAATCTTCAGCTGTATCATGTTATAATCTTTGCATTGGTATGCAAAAACTGATCATCAGCTATAGAGGTGTTTTGCGTCTACTTCCTACATCTGAAAGATAGTTACACTCTACAAGTGTTTATCTTTGAAATGATCCCTAAGATGATTGCAAAGGCCATATCTCGATGGCGGCATAACGTTCATGTCTAACACCATTTAACCTGAAAACCGACCCGTCTGTCCGCCACGAAAATTGGTTGATGGGTGATATCTATTTTGCCCCTCACTTCTTCTGTATAAAACTGGTACCAATTGTGAAATCCGTTGAAATCGTACGTTCTTTCATTACCTGTGAAACAATAACACCGAAGCTCATTGAGAAGCACTGAGGCATGCACTTAAGTTTGTACGATTTAAGCGTTTTAGAACATTTTTGGAGTTCAGGAATTACTGACTCAAGCAGAGCTTTTTGGAGGAGAGCCTTTAAAGAGACCATGCAATAATATCTTTGAGAAATTAACTCACCAACAAAAACATGTTTAAAGCCATGGCTGTATAAGAACCACATTTTTTTTAAGACCTCTCCAAACTTTGTCAGAGTATTCTGAAAATTAAGATCACAGGAAGTTAAAAAAGAGTGACAGAATAGACGATCTGTTATTTGCTCAAATCACTGATTCCTTTTGTCATAAACTATTTCAAACTATTTTTTTATCTAATACTAGGTTAGATAGCTATATTTTGTCAAATATAACCATGAATTTAACATTTTGCATATTCGGTGAGATTTTTCTGAATATGCAAAATGTTATTTTTCATTTTTGCTTTGAAAAGTGACGAGTTCGATAGCATTAAATTATGGTTTCGCATCGCCATGTAGCTTATTGAATTTCCTTCCCAAGAAAATGAGGCAGACAATTGTAAGACATACCACGCCATATGGAAGTGCTTTCTTTTGAGTTTTCAGGTAATTGAATGCCGCTTCCACGGGTCCGCTTGGTTGGGTTACTGCAGAGATGAAGTTCTTTACATGTTGCTGCTCAAAATTGTAAGGGGCAGCTTGATAGTCCACTAATAAATCTGTTGAACAGGACCCACTCGATAAATTAATTAATTAATTAATTAATCGGCGAAAACCTCTTTTTTTTTTACGAAACGTTGTTGACGTCTTCCAAACACTACCTCTTTTTCTTTTCAGCGGTCACTTTAGATAGTTCTAACGAAAGGAGGTTGCTTCCGTTCCTTCTAAACATATAACTTACAAACGCACTTAAAGTGACGGCAGTTTTGTATAATGTAGTGAGGGTTTTTTTATACCTCTCAAAACAACTAAACCCCCTTCAAGTCATTATGAAATGTAGATCAACGTAAGACAAATTGTTATAAATTATACCTTGCAAAACATAAATGCTGTGTCCAAAATTTTTACAAGTAAATTTTTAACTACCATTCCTAGTAATGATCGCACAGCAGAATTCCGCTTTTAACGTTATACCGTCATCGAAAAGTTAATAGTAAAGTTTTTGTAAGAAAGTTAGTTCAAAAAAAAAAATACATATACCATGGAATGTAGTAAACACGGGACTTTGAAGTTTTTTTTCTCCTCGGGATCCTCCTCCTTTCACCAGCATGAACAAGGCGTTTGGGTAATTACCCGTATTGACTGCTAATTCTCCAGGAAGCAGCAGATTATTTTCAGCATTGTCCCACATCTTTTGACAAACGTCATCTTTAAGATGAGTCGGCGCCGCTTGCGAACTTAAACGTAGAAGGGAAATACGGATTTTTGAAGGATATTTCCCACCCTCATGTAAATGGAAAACATTTCAAATATAACATGATTGGTACACGAAGTTCAAGTTAACTGTTCGAGAGGAGCACTGCCACAATACTTAAAGAAGAATAATCTGTTACCTTACTCTGAACAAAAACCAAAGTCAGGGAGAAAGGGTTGATGATCTCACCCATAGTTTTATTCACTGACATACATGCGTTGTTGGGAAGTTTCCAAAATTTGGTGTAAATAAATGCTAGTTTAGGCCATTTGTTGGGTCTTACTCGTGTACAAAAGAAAAGGAAAAAATTACCTCTCGACACAAGATGAAGTCACCAAAATGAAGACGAAGATTTTCATGTTGATGATTTTTCTCTTTGTACACGAGATTTCCATCTGCGAGAATTAGTCGTTCATCCACAGACTTTCATGGAGTTAAAATTCCTACGCACTTAGTAACAATTTCTGCCTCTTTGATTTATAAATATTTAAATGAACAAGGTGTCATAAAAACAATGAGAACTGATAGAGAAACGATTAACGTTTTATTAACTAAGGAAAGCAGCCATAAGAAGTGATAATCTCACCCTTGAAAATTGAGCGTAATAATTACATTTAGAGTCACATTACGAGAAACTAAGGACTCGTTGTCAATTAAATTTATAAGCATTGAGTAGCACTAAACTTTTCTTTATCTATTTAATCCTTGCTTGAAATTATTTCCCTTTCAGTAAGACCTTTATCCAATAGCAATTAAGATATCGATCACCTGCACGGTCTTTGGGTTTCGTCGGTACGTATTGAATGTCTTCGTTTCGATGCAACGGTTGGATGAAGTTCACCGGCCATGACATAGCATAAATTTCTATCACGCCCAAAGTGTCTCAAAATAAATTTATTTCTATGAACGTTACAACTGATGCTTAAAAGTTAATATATCGATGCAAAGAAAGTGGCTTTGTGTGACCATTCTTCCTTCGAGCTTTCCTATTTTTTTGTTTGTCGTTCCTGATAACCAATGCAAGTGTCCTTATGAACTTCTTCGGCGGACATCCTAGTCCGAACATGAAAACTATTTAAAGGAAGGTTAAAAAGTAGAAAGTTGCAGAACAAACCACTTAACAGGCAATGAACGAGTGTCGCGAAAAGGTGCAAGACATAGTCATCTCTCTACAATTTTATATCACTAACTGAATGTTTTACAAGCATTAAGGTTGATTAACATGTCAGATAAGATTCTGTTCCTCAAAGGTGTGACGGGTTTCTGCAAAAAACCGATCCGTCTGCACTGCTTCGAAAATAAGTTGGTGCGACTAGTTTTCGCTTTGTGCTCATCGCATCAGTTTAGACAATTCCTAAGGGGTTTTCGAAAACTGAACAAAAAATCTTACTTTGTCATCAGGTGATTCAGATGAAAACCCAATCAGAACTACTTAAGAGCCACAAGTATGTGTTTTTTCCATCAATGGTCCGTTTTGATTTAAAATTTAATGAGCTGATTTACCATGTATTCATGGTTCATATGGGGGAACTTGGAAATCGAGGTTTTTTTTTTTCGTATCTGGGTGATTAAATAGACACAAAAAAGACCTCTTAGATGGTTTTGGAGCCAAATATTTATTTATTTATCACTGGTTAGTTTGAGGTTATAAATCGTTTATTGGTAATGGGTTCTTAGTTTTGTGCAGCCTATGCCGAGCTCACGGTCAGTAGCAACACGAGAAAAAGCAGGCAGTTGAGGAATGGCGATATGCAACGATCAAGGGACATTTACCTACTATCTTGCTCGTATCCGTTGAACGAGATCCCGGAACAGAGCACGCATTTTATGATATTTAGTGTTTATAATAATTCGGACATCTTTGGCAATGATCTCGGCTGTCATCTTTTTGTGCCATTCATCTGAAAGTTAAGAATAAGTCTCACGTTATCTCAACCAAAATGCACGAAATTACAGGTTGTTGCTAGCATTTGGTTCTTAGATTTCCTTAGTAGGCTTGTATGGAACAGAATGCAGGAACATGACATCCGACTCGCTCTTATGCAGATCGCCGTTTTAAAGCACGTCTACATCATCGGAAACCATACGCTTTCAAATATTATAAATGCAGGTTAAGAGTGGCGATGCAGTTGAGAACCAGCCTCAGGTGTGTATGACGCAATCGATTGACAACAGGAACGATATATTGTTCACCTCAAGGGTTACTGTAAGGGGATACTTCAAGCTTCACAAATTGCTTTTAATTATATTATATATATATTAAAAATGTTTAGTTAACCTCAAGTTTTAGCACTGAACGATAATCTTACTTCTAATAGACATTCATAGGGGCAGCTGTAACGACCTTGCCATCCTTGTTCTCGACGGTCCTAACTTCTACTGTGCTTTTTCCTATTCCCGGCACGTAGATTTTGCACTTACAGTCGGTTTCCCTATACGGTCCCACGGGCGGATTTCCTCCAGCTTCTCCACGTCCTTTGAGGAGGCAAGTGGTGAATAAGGCCAATTCAAACGATGGGCTGGTTCCAACAAACATGGGGCTTCCTGTAGAAACTTGTTTCTTCTTGCCTTCCCAGTTGAATTTAAGATCTTTAATGAAGTTTGGCTACCAATGAAATGGTAAGTCAGAAACTTAGGGATCTTCAGTCATTAAAAATTTTTCATTTCAAAGAGCGACAACATTAACTGTGCATTCTGAAAATTAAGTCGAACCTTCTCAACCCACCTCTGTTTCTATTTTGTTTATTCTCGGCATTTTAATGTTTTTCTACATAAGAATGCTCAGGTGATTATAGAAATACGTGCGCTCTGATTGGTCGATGATTGCGTCATATCTCGCGCAAGGTGATTATAGCAGGGGTGCTAAATTTCAAAATGACTTTCGCGTTTTGTTAATGTTACCGGGAAACAGCAGGAGTGCCAAATTTCAAAATGACTTTCGTGTTTTGTTGATGTTACCGGGAAACAAATTTAATTCCGAAGAGCACTAAAGATGATAGTTTGGTGTAACGCTTTTTAAGTGGAAGATGTAAATTTCCTTGCCAATTGAATCAAATAAACCTTCTAAAATTCTTATTCGCGATACGAGTAATCAAAACAAATGTATCAGAATGGTTTCAACGACTAAACGAATTTCAACAGAATTCTGCCAATTACACGAAAATGCTGCGAGTCAAAAAGACGCCAAAGAGTTACAGTCAGACATCGATCAGCTAGCGGCATGGACCAAGAAATGGAATCTGCACTTCAGTTTCAAAAGCGAGGTAATGCGAATAACGCATAGACAGGACAAATCGTTGCCACCTTACAAGCCGAGTTCAAGTCATAACTAAAGGCCAAGGTGTTGTGATCGCTTCGGACCTGTCATGAAGCCAACATGTTAATGCGGTAGTCAACAAAGTCAACAAAATATTAGGTTTAATTCATAGGAAAGTGGTCCCATCGAATCCCGAGTCTTTCACGACGCTTTACAAATCTCTTGTAGCCCGGTAATAGAATACGCAGCCCCATTTTGGAACCCCCACCAAGGATATTCTTCTGTTAGAAAAAAAAATAAAGAAGAGCTTCCCGTCTTGCCCTTGGTCAGAGGCGGAGTACGATGACATACGAGGTGCGCCTGAAGAGGATGAAATGGCCCACACTAATAGTTTTTAGCTCAAATAATCTTGCATTTAACTTGTGACTTTTTCGAACTAAGTACGAATCTACCAGGGCAAATGGTAGATTCTTTCAAAATAAACCTAAACTAGCAAATTGTAACGCTTTGAAATATTCTTTCGCAGTCCCGCGGTACAAGAATGAAACAGCCTGCCGAGAACTGTGGTCAAAGCTGGTAGTTTTAATAGTTTAAGAACGGACTTAAGCCACTTTTTAACTTAGTATCTTAGTTATTCTGGATGGAAGAGTTTTCTTCAAGCGTCTTTTACTGAAACAGTTATTCTATGCAGGCTTTTATAATTCACCAATTCAGCATTACGCGCCTCTTTGATTATTTTTCATTGAACAGCATTCACTCCGCTTTCTATTCGGCGAGTAATTGTTGAATATTCCATTTTAACCGATCACCGCCTTCTTCTTGTGTTTTCTTTAGGAAATATCGATGGAATACAACGTAGTAATTTTTATTATTATTACTCAGGAGGGTTTTCCATACCACTGAGTTAAAAAAAAAATGGAAACTTGTAGATGTCAGGGCGAAGAAAAAGTACTCTTTTGAGACCTTGTTCAAATAGTTCATATCTACTGGCGTATTGGATCCCGGTACCAGTCTCCTTTAACCATGTTTGAGAGATTTTTGCCCCACCGTCGGAGTAAGAACCTGTTACTTTCACGAAAGATAAAGAACAAATGAAATGAAGTGGTAAAAGAAGAGAGCTTAGGAAATAAGTAATAGTTTAAAATGAAAATAAAAAAAAACTTTTCCCCCAGGTTCTTACACCGAGGTATACTAGTAGAATTTCAAAGATAATCAGTAGTGAAGCATATTTTTGATTGTTGAGGCAGTGGATTAGTTCTAGAATAGTTAGTTGCCAAGATATTAATATTACAAACACAAACCACATACAGCCGAAGCTCTTAGGATTCATTGGCATCGCAGAGTTTCCTTATAAAAGTTGTATGTAAATGAAACACGGAGCTAACTGCAGTAAAACTAACCCGTTTATCCTTAACGAATGTCGGTAGACTCAGTATTTTCACACCTTTTCTCTCTTCTTCTATGTAGTACTGGTACCAGTTATGAAATCCTCTGTAACGGATTTCGGATGGGTGTTTGTGCTGGAATTGTTCTCCTGAGAACATGAAACGTGAACACAGCATTGAGTTAAGTTGCCTGTAGATATATAGCTTTAGTAGCTCATTATTGCAGGTCTGGAACTGTGTTAGGCCCAAGAAGACCTTTAAGAAATTTCACTTACCAACAAATACATGTTTAAAGCCATGGCTGTCGGCTGCGGAAAACCACAGACTTTTTAAGGTGGTTCTGAACTCTTCTAAGGTTTTCTGAACAAGAGAGCCAACATAATAGTTAACACAACCTGAATACCATGAAAGAAAAAACGGAATCTATTTCCCACTTTGGCCGAGAAATTAATAAGTTAGTTAGCTACTTTTAACTTACTATTTTATTTTAAGGAATCAATTATTTGCAAGGAAGGAAAAATACAGCTATAAGCATAGAAAAAGGTAATCCGTTTTAATCTTGCGTTTATAAGAGACGAGTCTACGAACTTTTTGTGTGGGATACCTGTGGCATCCCACACTATCGTCATCGGCTCGTGTCTGTTACTGCTAATCCCACACATGAGTTTGACAAGTGCAAAGCATACCATGGGAAAAGGCAGTGCGTTCGGTTCAGTTTTTAGGTAGTTGAATGCCGCATCAACAGGTCCACATGGTTGGGTTACTGCGGTGATGAAGTTATCTATATTTTGCTGATTAATCTTATTGGGAGTTTGATAGTCAACCAATAACGCTGTTGGACATAAAAAAAAGGAATGAATTAAATTGTACCGTCACCCTATCATTAAGCTACCCCAACTTGTTCCCCTTCGTCTTCATAACACCGCCTATTTCGACAATGATCAGTTAAGACGTTTAGAAGGTAGTAAATTGTATCCGCTCTTAAAGTGACGACCATTTACGATCGTTTGTTTTGGTAGTTTTCTATGCCTCTATATCAGGAATCTTTCAATCTACGACCTCGTCATCTTTGTGAAATACAGATCACATTACACGTTACAGGATATAAACATTGCGAAGTGAATATTTGAAAACTTTCTCATCAATCTGAGAGGCGAATTTCTGGCGCTCATATCAAGTAATGATATGAAAAAAATGATCGGAAAAATCTATTGAAAACGTTCATCTCTCATTGAAAATCTGAGCTCTCAGAAGGTTTTGTAAAAGTGAGACTTAAAAGTTAATTTGTATACCACGGAATTGGGTAAACTCTTCACTGCGGAGTTTTTCGTTTCCTTGAGCTCCTGCTCCTTTCACCACCTTGAACATGGGGTTATTACCGGCCTCAACAGATAATTCTCCCGGAAAAATCAGATTATTTTCAGCTTCGTTCCACATTTTTTGACAAGCCTGGTCATCAAGAAGAATCAGTTTACACCTAAACGTAGGAGGTAAATACGTATCTTGAATTAACTTGAAGGATATTGTCAACCTCATGTAAATGGAAAACATTTCAAATAACAAATGCTCTTATGTAAAAAATGAAAGAAAAGAAATTTACCTCGCGCCATAAGGTAAAGTCAGCAAGATAAAGACCAAGATTTTCATGTCAATGATCTCGCACTTCGTACACCTCATATACATCTGTCAGAATTGGTCGTTCATCCACCGAGGTTCTTGTAGAGAAAATTCCTACTCTCTTAGTAACAATTTTCACTTAATCGTTTCATGAATATTTAAAAGCTCTGGTCCAGAGCGGGAAGTCTTCAGGAAATAAAACAAAATCATTAACAGTGCAATACAGTCATAGGAGTATACTTTTTTGGGAAATGTCAGCCACTAGAGTATCATACAGTGAAGAGATACATAGATATACATTGTGACCTTTCATAACCATTTATTGAAATCAACTCTAAGTAAAATTTACTCTCGCACAAAACATGAACCCTGGTGACGCCATTAAGATATTGAAGGACTGGGGGAACCAAAAGTTTCTCTTTCTAAGCATTCCAAGCGTGAAAAGACTTGTCCCCGCCGTTTAAAATATTAACAATGTAACCATTAAGATATCGATTACTTTCACAGTGATTGGGCTTCGCAGCTAAGTATCGCGCATGTCTTTTGTTTCTATGAAATAATAGGATGAAGTCAATTAACAAAACACAAATGGTCGTCAACTGAGATATCTCCACAAAAAATAATGATATCCTGAAAAAATAGTTGGCCATCGAGAATATTGATCATTCGAGTTTAAGATAATTTCTTTTGGCGATTTTCTACCACCGTTTTAATAATAAAATTAACACTTTTCAATAAAATGGAGTCAATAAAGGAAACAGTCAATATATGGGACTCTAGATGAATGAAGCAAGAAATGTTGATGTTGTAATGCCCTCTCTATTTTGTTATAGTTATCACGTTGTCACCTTTATTCTTGTGTTTCACTTTTTTAATCAGCGTGGATGATAGCACAGTTTACAAACGTGGCACTGTGGAAGTACAGCTGCTCTATCTTAGCGAAAAAAAAAATTCTTAGGTTCTGCTTCAATAAGAGATGCAGGTCTTCACGAAAAAAAAATTATCCTTAGGTTCAGCCTCGAAAAAGAGTTGTTGTGACTCTTTGAAGCTGCGATCATTGCACCAATATGACTGCAATTTTTTTGCGAGAATCAAGTCCTGTTGCCGAAGACTCAGCTTTCTAATAGCATTCTACAGGTCAAGCGAGGCGCTCCTCGCAGCGATTTGCACCTCCTGTGCTCCTGGTCCTTCAAGAGATAATGGTGAAGAAGACTATGCCTTCTTTAGACAAGAATGACTCGAGGGACAATGGATTTCATCTCCTATCCCGTTCCTAATAAAAAAGCATTCCTGTTTTCAACATGAAGTGTGGCTACAGAAGTAGCTAAAAAATCTCCAAATTCTCTCGTAGCTATACCCATCATGTTTCTCCCCTTCTTCTTTTAAGAGTTCGTAATCGATCTATTTCGACGTTAATTTTCAACAATCATTATCTATCAAAGGCATAGAAACTCATGCTTCGCAGTGCGGCGTTTGATTCAGATTTGTGTCATGATTTCGAGTGAAAAAAGGAAACATTTCTTCCTTAAATAGAGATAACGAGTCGAAAGATTTAGGCGCCAACTGGTAAATTTTTAGGGGTTGGACTTGGTTTACTTCAAGGAGGAAACTTGTAAGGGAGGCTGGGGGCTAACTTGCAATGGAGTGAAACTTCCAAGTACCGGCCATAAGATAACGAAAACATATTATGGTTCTGTGAAGGTGTAGTCTGATCGTCCGGGTGAGTGTAGTCCTGAGAAGGACTGTTGTCGGTGGTAGTGACTGACGTTTCGACAACCTGTGCGGAAGTCATCATCAGAGTCAAGTGAATGATTGTTGTCAGTAGAATGTTCTTATTCCAGTTCGTGTGAAATGATCGGTTGGTTTTGCCGTGATGTTATTGGCTGTAAGACTCAAGTGACGTAAGTCGGTCGTGATTGGTCTGTTTCGATCTGTCGGTAAAGTTAGGTCGTTCTTTTTCGGTCGTTTGTGATGTTTATGTCGTGAATGAGTCGTTTGTATGGGGCGGGTAGTTGTTGACATCTGTTTAGGGGAGTCTGTTCTAAGTTAGTAAACCAGCTTTCCAGAGTCAGTCGTTGAAAATAGTCAGTGCTGTAGGTTAGGCATTGCGCAGAGTCCCAGTCAATGTTGTGGTTGGTAAGTCGATGGTGTTCAGCAATGTGATTGCTGACATCACCTTTCCTCGTCGCCCGTCTGTGTTCAGTCAGTCTTGTTGTGAGGTTTCTGCCAGTCTCACCGATGTAGGAGGCTTGGCAGTCGGAACAATTGATCTTATAAATCGTTCCCTGTCTGTTCCTCGGTTCGTCTTTGTCTTTAACGTTGGTTAGTAACTGACGTAGTGTGGTGATGGGTTTGTGGGCGACGCGGATATTGAAGGGTAGTAAGATGCGCGAGATGTTTTCAGACATGCCTTTTATGTACGGTATGGTTGCTGTAGTCGTAGGGGTTGCGGTGTCGTTTGTTTCGGTAGTGGTAGTGGGTCGGTGAGTGTTTCGTCGGATGAAGTCGTTGTTGTAGTTGTTCTTCGTAAAAACACGGTGAAGGTATTTGTTCTCGTCGGATAAGCTGTCTGTCGAGTC